AACTGTTAGAGTGCTACAGTCTCTACAACCTACTGTAGTGTCTAAATCATAACTGTTGCTTTTTCTTCAAACAGTGATACATTTTTAGTTTCATTATGTTGTTTTGATTGAAATGACACTATAAATTTTTCATTTAAAAGTTTCTTAATTGTATCTAGAACAATAGCACAGTTTAGAAACTTTGTCTTCTGAGACTGACATGTTACCTGTGAACTAACTTGGGAAGATCATATCCATGTATGTGGTTATTTTGGTTTTATTGGAATAGCAGCGTTTCACTGGAAACAGGCTGTGTCCCACCATTTTAAAAAGTCCCATATTTTCGCAAACCAACCTTAATTATCCAATGGTTGAATTAATTAAAACACTTTAGGAATTTTAAACTTGGTTTGATCATTTTTGGTTTAATTTCTAGTTTTCTTGAGTGTGGGGTAGGGGAACTCGAATGCAACGTGACTTTCAGTGATCTCTGAGCTGTGTTTTAGGGACTGTGTGTTGGTGGCTCGCAGCTCCTACAGTACAGGATATGATCTCAATGTAGTGCATATAAAACCGCAGATTGATTTTCCTTGAGTGCTTTATACTGTTTAATTACATCTCCATGTAGGGCTGAAAAAAATTACCTATGTTTATATATAACTGTGTTGCTTTTGATGTTGTGTTCCTGCGCACGGAGGGTGCGCGATGAGGTTTGCCTTGGTCCAGGTACAGCACGATAGCCGCGCGAGTTCAGTACTGCTTCCGTTCATTGTTTACGCTGGAATTTTTTCTCCCCATGGAATGTAAGTAAAACGTAGTGTTTGTCACAAATAAATGGTAATACTAAATTTTTTTTTTTTGGGGTTAATTTATTCTTGTATGCCACCACCCAGGGGCTGCTTTTTGATAGATTTGTAATGCTTGTGCTCTAGTCCAGGCGGTGTGTGAAGCTGTGGAGTGACTCACGGTGGGTCCCGAGTGCATCGAGGGCCCTGCTCGTGCCGTGCAGGGTGTGCAGACCTGGCAGGGAAGGGAATGCCAAGTGACGTGGCTACGGTTTGTTGTTTGTGCCACAGTGTGTTAGTGCAGCTTTGTTAACGGGAGCTTAAACTGGAGTTATAAGTGAAACTTAAAAGTCAACTTAGACGAGGACCCTGGCACAGCTGGTGGGTGGGACTGCTTCAAGTCTCTGCTTTGAAGTTTCCTTGTTTGCTTGTAACTCGAGTCCCAGCCTTGCCTTGTGCCTGGGGGCAGTGCTGCAAACCAGACCTGACACGTGTCATGTCTCCCTCGGTGTGTTCTCACCTGCTGTTCTGAGCTGTGCAGCTCCTGCAGGGACCCTGCCCCAGAGAGCAGCTCCTGCAGGGCTGTCTCAGAGCTCCGTGTCTTGGCCGTTGTGTTTGCATCATCCAAGGCAATCGGGCCCCAGGAACTGCAGACCAGATTGCATTGAATCACGTTGGGTTTGATCATGATGAGCAAAAAAACCCAAACATTGTAAAGTTTTTTTTGTTTTTTTGTTTTTTTTTTTTTTTACATTTGTAGAACTAAAATGCTGTACATTTAAAAATTAAAAGAAACTTGCTAGGCTGAGGCTTTGTATTGCAAATTCTTCCAACTGAGAAAGTCCTTACCAAACAATTCCTGTTGGAAAGGGAGCAGGCTGACAGCGGTGGGAATACTCTCCCCACCTGCACCTGCTGCTGCTGAGGAGTTTTCTCCTTGGATGGGACTAGAGCCTGTTATTGTCCCTGGATCCACAGAAACACTTGTTACAGAATATTAAAATACATTCCCAGAACTTGTTGTTGCTGTTGTTTTGGTTTAGGATATGGACAACTGACCCTTCTTTTGGACAAATCGCACCTGAAAGGACTCAGTCTGGAGTCAGCAGGGTTGTTATTCTTAATTCCCTGGTCAAAGTTTAGTAACATATGCAACAGAATTAAATGGAGCTGTACTTGGCAGCTATTTTGTTACCTAAGGATCAAACCAAAATTCTGTTTCAACCCACTGATCAAAGTCAGAAATAGTTTTATTTCCCTCCTACTCTAAAAAGACAAATGGTGGAGGTTCCACAAGTGCCTAACTGCAGGCAGGGATGGGATGTGTGGATACCACTTCACTAGTCTTTTGTGAAGCAACCACATAGTTGTTTGCTGCTTATAATACTTATACAAGAGTGCATTTTATTATTTGATGAAACAAATTATTTTGTATAGAACTAGCAGGATCCTAAGGAAACAAAACTGTCTTTGATTCAAAATGACACATTATAGTGCTTTTAAACTTTACTCGTTCTCCCACTTCCACTTTCACAGTATTTTTAGCAGCCTGCTAATAGAGGATGATTTAGATTTTTAAAAGTCCCATGTTAATGATGCAGGAACTGTTCTCCACAGAGCTTTCAATGCTTTCACCCTGTTCTTCCACTTGTGTTTATTATTTCCAAACAAAAGACAATCTTTTATGTTTAAATGCCTTTTTCAGTCCAGAAGGGAGATCATTGCTCCCAAAGCAGGCAATCCTGGTGGTCACTGTCAGCTCCTTGCTGGTACAGCCTGTGTGCTCACACTGGTGTTGGGGTTCAGGAGGTGCTGCCACAGCCCCTGGGAGGGCTGGCAGGGAACACAAACACATTTGGCCCAAGCTGTGGTACTTTCAAAAACACCCATGGCACTTTTAGCCTTTTCCCCTCCCCCTGAGCATGTCCATGAGGCTGGGCAGGGGCTCTGCTGGTGGGACTGGCACAGAGCAGGCACAGGGACACGGGAGGTGCCAGGAGTGCCCACCCTGTGCCCCGGGGAGGGGCTGCAGGGCACAGGCTGCTGCTCTGCCCCGAGGTGCCCACACCAGAGTTCCCACTGCAAGGAAACAATGGGGAGAACTGGGACTGGAGAGACTTTTGCTGCCTCTTGAGGAACTTCCTGAGTCCAACGAGCCCTGACTGAGCTGAAGAACTCATCTTGCTAAAGACATTTTCCACTTGGTTTTGCCATGGAGAATAAAACCCAGTGAAATCAAATAAATTCAATACTAAGCTCTGCTGCAGCTGTTCGAGTACCCCAGACCTTCTCACTTTCCCTTCCTTGCCAAGCAAGGCAACACAAATCATGTTTACAGTTCCTTTTTGTGCTGTGCATGTGACGTGGGTTTGCAGTGTAACAAGATTAGTTTTCCCTGTAATCTTCTTTAAAATGTCCTTCCTGTGATTGTCTTTTCATCTTTTGGTGTTCTGGAACTTGGATTAATGGCATTGAGATTTATTCCACAAGTCCTGTTTGATAGGCTGCTTTCAAGAATTAGTTGCCTACAAACACACTTAATCTGGAAAAAGCATTTTAACGGTACCTGAATTAAGCAGTTTCTGCCAAACATCCTGTAAGGCCCATTTATGTCCCTGCAGGATGTGCCTGTAGATACTATTGGACAAGTAAAACAAGGCAGGCTTATCTTTCAGAGCATCTAAAACACCTCCCGTGGCTGCCCCAGGCAGATTTGCAGAGCCTTGGCTGTGTTTTGCAAACCAGCCAACAAACTGATCAGGTGCCTTTTCCTGCTTTCATCATGTTTCAAGCACCGTCCTTGACCTGCCCCTTCCGCAGGTCCCACGAGATGCTCTCACCTCCCAACCAGCTCAGTCAGGTCACCGAATCCTTGAGGAGATGATAGGACCTGGTGCCAAGGTGCTGGTTTGTGAAGCACCACAGGACAAGTCACCCTTCGCACACCTTCTCGAGCCTTGGCAGAATCTGTGTGTTTTACAAACAGAAAAACCCAAAGCACGGAGCAATTACGTGATTCTGAGCTAGTCTGGACCAAAGCAGCTTCCTGCAGCACTCAGAGCCGTTCAGCTCCTGTGTTTATCCCCCAGAAACTCCCCTGCTGATGGAAACTGGCTTCTGGCTTTGTGCCTCTCCCTGCCTGTGCCCCTGGGTGATTCCATTTCAACCCCCATCTTTTCGCTGGTGTTATTCCAGGGACAGAGGTTCCCCCCTTCCCCGGGAGGGAGGGCCATGGCTGCAGAACCGCCGATGTGCGGTGGCAGCTCCTGCGCTGGGGCGGGCGGGCCGTGCTGGGCTGGCTGTGCGGGGCTGGCTGTGCTGGGCTGGCCCCGCTGAACAGGAGAGCTGCACACACTGCGGGAGTGCAGGAGGCTGGCAACACCTTCCATGTGTGTGCAAGGATGGCATGTGGCACGTCTGCACTAGAGCTGGATGGCTGGGTTCACAGCCCGTTCCCAAGGTGCATTTATAGCTATAAAAGCAGCAGTCACGGCAGTGCTTGAATTACAGGCTGGGCTGCTCTCATTCAAGACATCCTTTGTTCTCTATTCCATTCCTGACGTTACTCAGTGGCAAACTAACGCAACGCGATTTGCCAGCCTCTAGCAGCTAAAAGCAAAGTACCCGACTGTGACACGTACCCCAGACACGGACACAAACCCGCACCGAGCCCCGTCCCGGGGGAACACACGGGGTCAGCGGGCGGCCCCCGGACCGCCCGTGGGCTCCTGCTCCGGGCTGAGGGGGATCAGCGTTGGCACCGCACCTGACCGTGCCTTTGGGTGAGTCACTGAACACCTCTGAAGCGGTGGGTTGTTTTTTTTTTCCATTAAGAAGGGAAAATTAGGTTTCCAAAGCCACGCTCGCCCATCCCGGCGAAGCACACCGGCCGCACCTCGGCCCCGGCCGCGCTCCCCCGCCATGAGGCGCCGCACCCGCCCTGCCCGGCACCGCGAAATGGCGGCCCCGCCGCCGCCGGCCGCGCCTCTCGCCCCCTGCACCGGCTCGGGGACCGCGGCAGATACGGGAGAGCCACAGCCGGCCCGGCCCCGCGGGGCCCCTCGGCGGGAAGCGGAGCGGGGCGGGCGGGGATCGCGGATGAGGCGGGAGCGGAGCGGGGCGGGCGGGGATCGCGGGTGAGGCGGGAGCGGCCCCGCGGCCCCCCCGGTACCGCCCGACATGGCGCCGGTACCGCCCCTCGGCGCGGGCGGGGCCTGCGCGGCCCTTAAAGCGCCTCGCGCGGAGCCCTTCGGTCTCTTTGTGCGGGGCGGCCGAGGTGGGTGTGCGGTCGCTTGGGGCTGCGGGCCGCGTGCGGGCCTTCGCGGGGCTGGGGCGGGTGGGTGGGCCCTGGATCTCCATGTGCCCGTTCCCGGGGTCGGCCGTGCCGGTGCGGGTGTCTGCCGGCGGCACCTCGCTGCCCGCCCGCTGAGGCCTCCGCTCGGACTCCGGCCCGGCCCAAAGGCTCCTTGCGGGGCTTCGCCCGCGTTCGCGGTGAGGGGCCACAGAGCTCTCCGCACCCGCCCGGGCGCTCGCTGGTGCAGTGATGACTCTTTCCCCGTCAGAGCGACAGTGTTGAGCACTCCTATCCAAGCCAGATCGTGTCTGATGCACCAGCGGAGCCGCCGCCGGGCCCGGGGCGGTCGAGGGCTGGTACTGACTGTTCCTCGGTGCTGACTGTTCCTTGTTTCCCTGCAGGGCGAGCCGGAGCCCGGGGCGCCTCAGGGAGCCCCATGACCGGGGCCAGGCCGGCGATGGGGGCCCGTGCCCGGGGTGCGCCGGGGTCTGAGCCCCTGCGGGGGGGGAGCGGTGAGTGTCTGAAGTGACTGTGCATTAGTGGTTTAAATATATACGTTTAAATATACAATTTTTAATATGTTCAAATATATTTATTTCTGCATATATGCACGTATAAATAAATTGCTCCTGCAATTTGTTGGTGTCCCTGGAGAGCTGTCCCGTGTGGGTCCGGCCGCTGGCCCGGCGGGACAGGGGCTGCAGCCCGGGCAGGGCGGTGGGTGCTGGCCCCGGGGGTCCTGCCCCGCCCCGGGCAGCGCTGGGCACCGCGGTCCCGGTGCTCACGGCCGACCTGTGCCTCCCTGCGGCCTGCACGGCTCCTGCTGCAGGGGAGCCTCACAGACAGAAAGCCTGGGCCTGCAAAAAGTAATAAGCTATTAATCTCTGCTTGTTGCCTCTTTTATGTGCCTTGACTGTCTTGTGCTCTGCCCTGGAACCCCCATACATTGGTGTTTGTTCTTAATTTTTTGGGGGATTATTTCTCTGTCCCGTGTGCCTGTTGAGCACACTGACCAGCCAGCTGGTTTTGAGGAAAGATTAGCATGAATTCCCTGGGGGAGGTGGGAGTGTGGCACAGCTGCAGTGGGTGAGCAGCCACAGCTCCTGGGGACTCGCTGGTGTAAGTGATGACTACATTTTTTCCCCATCAGATCGACAGTGTTGATTTCTTGCTCTTCAAGCCAGATCATGTCTGATGCACCAGCAGGGAAGTGCTGTTGTGTCCCATGTCCTGGCAGGGCCTGGTGCTGACTGTTCCCTTTGGCTTTACCCACAGGGCACTGTGAAGGCAGAGACAGGGGGTTGAGCCTCTGGGAGACCTGAAGTGTGAAGGCTGCAGCTGGCAGTGATGGTGTAGTGAGGGCAGCTGTCTGTTCTGCTCCACTATGCTTGCACTCTAGCAAATAATGTAAGTCTTGAAAGTAATTATGAATCACATGTTAAAATTAAATTAAAAGAAATAAAAAACAGGAAGGCGGGGAGGAAATGCCTTTTTCTGCAAGGAAGTTGCTCCCACTTTGTCCCTGGAGACTAGACAGATGTGGGTACTGTAGAGATGAAAATGCAGGGATTTCCCTCATGCATGAGCATTGGAATGAGGTCCTTTGGGCCTCCTGTTGCAGCATGTCCAAAGTGTCAGATGTGCCTTGTGAAGAAACCAGCAGGGCAGGGAGTCTGCAAGCTGCACTTGCTGTGTGCTGAGCTGGAGCAGGACAGGGGCTCACAGCTCTGTCCTGTTTGTTTCCCTGCTGCACTGTGTTCAGGGGCTCACTGAGGGCACCCTGCACAGACAGGTGGGTGATGGGCTGCCCCAGCAAGGGACAGGAACCATTGTGGCTGAAGTGTGTCCCTTTAAGAGGTGCTGCTGGTTGAGTCTTGTCTACCCTGCCCCTTGCTGGCCAGGGTGTGAGGGAGTGTAGAGGGATTGCAGATGTGGGCATGGCTTTGCCAGTTCCATGCCCTCTGTGCCAGGGGATCTGCTGGGGGAGGTGGGAGTGTGGCACAGCTGCAGTGGGTGAGCAGCCACAGCTCCTGGGGACTCGCTGGTGTAAGTGATGACTACATTTTTTCCCCATCAGAGCGACAGTGTTGATTTCTTGCTCTTCAAGCCAGATCATGTCTGATGCACCAGCAGGGAAGTGCTGTTGTGTCCCACACCCTGGCAGGGTCTGGTGCTGACTGTTCCCTTTGGCTTTACCTACAGGGCACTGTGAAGGCAGAGACAGAGGTTGAGCTTGAAGTGAAGGCTGCAGCTGGCAGTGATGGTGTGTTGAGGGCAGTTGACTGTTTTGCTCTACCATGTGTGCCCTCTGACAGTGAAGAATGGTAAGTACTGGATCCACTTAACGTTAACTGGCTTAAAAAAAGAAGGAAAAAACACCTTTCTGCAAGGGAGTTGCTTCTGCTGTGCTTTGACAGCTTAATGTGTGTGAAGTTTGGGCAGAGTAAAGACTTGAGTGTTGCAGAAAGGGCCCTTTTAAGTGTTAGACCACAGTATCAATCCCTGTTAAAATACTCCAGTTTCCTCCAGGGATTAATGCCTTGTCAGTTGTTCTGGACATGAAGATTTTTCACATGATTGTTTTAATGTTCAGCTGAAGAGCATCTGTCACAGTGACTTCAGCCTTGTTTTCCCCTACCAGATGGGCAATGCTGATGCAAACTTTTTTAGCCACACTGGTTCCAGAGGTGCATGATGCCTTCATGGCATATAAGGAAGCTCTTCTGCAGGGTGTGCTGCACACTTCAAGGGAACACTAGAGGCTGCACCTACCATAGTAACACTGATATGTAACACTGATGTGTGTGAACAACTTTAGGATCAAAAGTAAAAGAATTCTTGCTTTCTGAAGATCCCAAATAAATGGCAGAGAGCTCCAACAGGTTTCAGTTTAAGGGAATAAATTTATTATTTTTGTCTTGCCCCATTTAAACAGTGTTAAAATGAAGGGCTTCTTGAAAAGTCAGGGGGCTTTTGTTCTTGAAACTTCATTTGTTTTTTTACTCCTCTGAATGGGAGGTTTTCAATGCCTTGAGAAGGGGGTGAAAGTCAGCTTCCAGAAATGTGTCTGTTTGCAAGAAAGGGATTGCTTTGGTGTCCTTTTTCTTCACAATCAACTATGTGATGCCTGAAAATCTGTTTGGTTAGGATTTCACTAATGCTTTATAAAATGTGCTTAACAGAACTTCATTAGGTAAAACAGCCATTGGCACTGGCTCACTCAGTTCCAGCCCCATGCTGAGGTGCCTGTTGTGCACCTGCTCTGTCTCCAGGGAGGCTGAAGGGTGTGAAGAGCAGCACTGTGTCCTCTGTATCTGTACCCCTGGATGCACAAGGAAGCAAGTGCTCTGTGTCAGACAGTGGAGCTGGTTGAGCTGACTGACTGTGTTTCTCTGGCACTCTGCTCTGTCAGCTCCCCTGGGCTGTTGGCAAGACCTGCTCTAGAAGCTCCCACAGTGCAGTTTGAGTGCATCCTGGGAGCAAGTTTCTGCTCTTTGCAGAGCAACCCTTATCTAATAGGGGATTTTGAGGGTGCTGGGGGTGGATTTAAAAGCTGTATATTTGGTGTTTGTGGCAGAGTGTTCAGACAAAATGTTGGCTGTTTTCTTGACAGGTTGAGATTTGTCAGAAGTTGTCCTGGGCCCTGCTGGGGTTTCAGTGTTCTGCTTATGAAGACGGATGCTTCTGCTGCTCCTGTGCTGCTGCCTCAGATCCTCGTCCAAGCCACAGCATTCCCATCACCGTGTGACAGCTCTGGCCTTTCCTCAGAGCTGGCGGGAGTGATGAATTGGTGTCCGGCCAACTTAGATGGAGGGTGTCACATTTGTTGTCCCCTGGGGTGTGAGGCATGTAACTGGAATGGGTTCTGGAACCTGCTGCATGTTTAATGCAGTTTGGATGCTTTTGTCTGCAGGGGCTGCATTCCCTGCATGACAGCTCATGTTATCCTGCCCCCGTCATTACAAGCAAGGAAGGCTCTCCTTGGAGCAATGACAAGTATGGGAGGGCCTTGTCTGTAAGGAGAGGAGTCAGGGCTTGGCTCTCCCCTGCCACCCAGAAAGCTTTAGTGGTTCATCTCTGGCAGCTTGTGAAGTGGGGAAGAGGCATCTGGGATGCTGCAGCACAGTGTGTTTTTGTACTGTATAGAGCCTATTTAATAAAATCTGAGTACTGGGTGAACTCAGCTGGTGACTGAAATTCTCTTTACATAGTTAACAGCTCATACCTGGATCTCCCACTTGTTAGGGGAGATGGAAGAGCACAGAGAGCACTGGTGATGCTGTGTAGGGCTGATGGAGCTGCCTCAAGCCAAGAGAGAAGACATGGTCTCATGGCAATAGAGCTTGGCTGGGGCTGTGACTGCTGCTGTGCTGCAGGAGGTGTCACAGGGTCTGTACAGAACAGTGAGTGCTGCAGGCCCCTGCTCTGTGCCGAGGGGAGGGGGTGCACTCTGCATGGCTTCTGGCCAAGGCTCTCCCTCAGCTGCTTCTGGAGCATCTGTGTGGGAGCAGCTGGTGTAGAACACTTGTTTAGGGGGGTTTTGGCTGACCTGGTTCAAGGTATAGATGAGCATGTTCTCAGGTAAGTCACTGCCTCACAAAGTGTTCCATATATGAGTCTTACAGGGAAGTGGCACAGTCTGGGAAGGAAGGGAAGCTGCTGTCAGGTCTGTGAGGATTTGGACACTGCCTCTGGTGTGTCAGGAACGTTTCTGCTTTGGTCAGACCTGATAAGGGATCCTGCAGCCTTCCCTGTGTGCTGCTTGGGAAACCGCCGGGTTTGCAGAGCAGGGACATGAAACACGGGCTGGACACGTGCTGAGTGAGAAGAAACAAAAGGTATTTCCAATATCAAATTTCTCAGTCCCAGAGAGGTAGTTAAGAGCACCGGGATGCCTTGCTTCCTGTGTCTGCCATACCCCCACATCGACTGACTGCACATCTGCCTCGGCAGGTGACAAAGGTGTGTCAGGGCACTGCGCTGGGCCATGTGCGGGGAGTGGGGAGGGCTGGGCCTGGGCCTGGGCCTGGGGCTGGGGCTGGGCCGGAGCCTCAGACTGGGCCTAGACGTAGGCCCAGCCCGGCCAGCAGGGGGCGCTGTGCGGCCGCTGCAGCCCCTCAGAGCTGGGGGGGGCGGGCCCAGAACGGGCCGAGCCGGGGGCGCCTCGTTCTGTGTGACCAGAGACCACCCGAACCTGCCACAACTGACCCAGAATGGATCGTGCCAGGGGCACCTTGTTCTGTGTGACCAGAGACCACCCAAACCTGCCACAACTGACCCAGAATGGATCGTGCCTGGGGCTCCTTGTTCTGTGTGACCAGAGACCACCCGAACCTGCTACAACTGACCCAGAATGGACCGTGCCAGGGGCACCTTGTTCTGTGTGACCAGAGACCACCCAAACCTGCCACAACTGACCCCAGAACGGCTGTGTTGGAGCCTCCCAGTTAATGGAGAAACCAGCACAGACTTCTTCCTGGGTCTGTGGCCCATTTGGAGATTTCTTACTGTGGTGCTTTGATAAGAGATGGGCACAGACAGGTTTTACACTGACTTTAAAGCAATCTGTCCTCAGAGCTGCCCCTGACCTGACCCCTGCTGGCCCTGGTCAGCTCCTGTGTCCGCTGGGTGGTTTGACTGAGGAGATGGAGGCCAGAAGGAATGTTCTGGACAAAGGCTGACTTGCAGCTCTTTCTCTGCCCACAGAGCTCCCAACCAGCTCTGGAGGCCGGCAGAGCACAGTGGCTGAGCAGGGCAGTGGGGACAGGCAGAATTGCCAGTTTGGTTGTAACAGGAACAGACCTTGCTGTAGGTGCTTGTGTAACTTTCTAAACTGAAACCTGGAGTCACTCACTGGGCTGGTATGTTTAACCAAATGTTTACTTTTCTCAAACAGATCTGTCTCTTGGTGCCATGAGCATCTGAGAGGAAAATACAACAGATTATTTCTCTGTCTGATGTTGCTTTTAATAGATTTTCATACACAGGGAAAGGTTTAACATTTGTATTCCCAAAGACCCGGGCACATCTTGACTGCATGGTGATGATTATATTCTTTTTAAACCCATCTGTTAGCAGCTGCATTAGCTTATAGCAAAGCACAGTCCAGTTACTCATTGCTGCTTCTCCTTCTTGTGTTATTTCCTCTTCCATCTCTGCTCAGTGATAGATTGTCAGACACATCACGTTACCGTAGACAGCCAGTGAAGCACAACTCAGGTTTGTAACTGCCCTGGGAAGATCCGGATTTCAGGACCCTCAAACTGCCCCACAGGCAATAAGGGGGAGACTCTGTTTTGAAGCAGAGTGTTTCTGTCTCCTGCAGCATCCAGTGTTTTAAATAGATGTTCTGCAGCTATAGCCTTCTCTTCATCTTCCACCCTTTTTGGCAGATCCCTTCCAGTGGTGGGGTGTGTTGGAAATGGAAACAGGTTGGAGATCCTTTCTGTCTGTGTTACCTGAGAATCTGCCTGATTTCTTTAGCGTTATATTTGGAAAAATGTCCACTAGATACTCTGCACTTGTCTGTGCCTGCTGCATTCTCTGCTCAGTTTTGAATGCTGTGGATGGGTCACCTTGAAGTCTTCCCTCTAGTGCTCAGAATAAGCTTGACTGCCTGAGTCTTTTCTCAAAGCAAGTACCAGATCCGGGGGCTGCCCTCATTTCTCTACTTTGCAGACTCCCTTGGGTTCATGTACCATTCCAGGGCCAGCAGGACCTTTGGAGGTGCAGTCTCAGCACGGACAGCAGGATGGCAGGATGGGAGGTGTCCTTCCCGCGGGCTGGGAAGGCTCAGCTGCTGCTCAAGGGTGGTCAGTCAGCATGTGCAGCCCCACCAGGACCTGCTTGCCCAGGTGGGTTCTGTGCAGCCCGTTCCCAAGAGCCCCTCCCTGGAGCTGGGGTGGTGTGTTCACACCCAGGGCTGCCCTGAGGATACTGCTCAGGCTTTTCTGCTCCCCTCCTGCTCGCTCTTCCTGCTGTGGCTGGCTGCAGTCAACAGCATCCTGGGTCAGGGCTGCTCCTTAACTGACAGGTGAGGCTTGTGCTCACACACACACGCACTGGAGTACTTGGACTTTGGCCTGGGACAGAGCCAGGTCAGTTCTGGGTACTGTTTCTCAGTGAGAAGAAAAACTGAGCTCTACCTCTGCCCTTATTTAGCAGCCTGGAGTATGTGCACTTGCTCTCTGCTGCTCAGTTGCAGCTGTGGTGGACACTGCCTAGCCCTCACCAATATTCCCAAATCCAGGCTGCTGATGAATAAAGTTGGTTGCCATCTCGTGCAAATGGCTGCAGATCATCTGGAGCCTCACAAGAGCGGTGCTGTGGTTGTTTCACTGGCTTGGTCTCCATTCATGCTTGCAAGAATGGTGTCTAATAAGAGGATATAAAACCATTTTTTCTCTGAGATATAGCCCTCATGGGGAAAGACCTGTCCTGAGAGTAAACCCATTTTTTAGTGGATGTGAATCAGGCCCTGGGCACCAGTGGTTTGAAGCAGACTTTTCCTTTGAGTATTTGCTGTCGCTTTTTCTTTACAGCAGGATATTTATAGGTGCAATTTTCTTGGAAATCTACAGAGGAGGACTGGAAGTGTCTGAGAACTTTTGTTAGTCAGCAATTTATGTTGCTGTGGAAACGCCTTAGCAGGGCTTGGGAAAACTGCCTGGAGAAAAGGGTGTTTGCCAAAGGTGCCAGCAGCAATGTGCATCTCTGGCTGGTTCCTGGCTTACCTAAACCTGCTCCTCAGGCACGTCCTTCACAGTGGCTGCTGTGTCATAGGGGTGACACCTTTTGTGCTGCTGGTCGTGATTCCCTTCTGTAAACCCGCTCTGTCGCTCCTCTGAACTGTGAGCATGGTCCTGCCAGCCTTCCCTCTGATCCAGGATGAAGTGCTGTTGAGGTTCTCCTCGGTGGGGTTGCTGGCTGCAAAGGTAAGTAGCAACGTTGGTGGGGGTGAGAGGGACGCTGGTGAGGCCTCGCTTCTCAAAAGGAGTTACAGTGACTTGGTGAATGCATTTGCACACAGACTTGGCTTTTTTCCCTGCCAGAGCTGACCAGGTACACCTGCTGTTCCATAGCCCTTTGGCAGGTGGAAGGCTTGGTGGGAGGGGTCAACTGCTGACTCATCTTGTTAGTTTATAAAGCAGTTGCAAATCTGCTCCTTGCTGTTCTTTTCATGCCTTTTTTTTTCCTTTTCCTACACTGGAAAAAAGTACTTGCAGGAACAGAGCAGGAAGGAAGCACAGAGGATTTTCTTGGTGCCAGAAAGCAGAATCAGGGCTGTGTGGATGGGATGTGACAGGCACAGAGGATGGCCCAGCCTATTGCCCAAGCCTTTTCCTTACAATCTGTGAGTGGATGCCTCTCTTGCCCTGTGTTGCAGGCTGCTGGAAAGGCATTAGTGGGTTCTGCCCTGCTGGTTTTCCTTTTTTTTCCTTTTTCTTTCTTTAAACAAAATGGAAAGGTCACAGTCTCCTGAGCTGCCTTCTCCCTGTCTGAATTGTGACAGGGAAACTAAAAAAGGCACCTGTCCATGGATGAGCCTAATGATTTTCCCTAACACTGAAGAGGAAAGCTCACCCTTATCTGGGTGTTCTCAGATGTTCCCTCTATCTGTCCATCCATCACAGCATTGTTCTTCCCCCAGCTGTGGCTCAAGTGCTGGGAGGAGGAAGATATAAAGCTGCCTGGGAGGTCTGCAAGGGTGACAGAAGACAGGATCTCTCAGGCCGTCAGGAATGCATCGCTGGGATCAGCCACGGGTGAGTTGGGGTTTGCTCCAGGTTTGCCTGATCCTTAAACCTATAGAGGATCCCTGAGAGATGGTGGGGCTGGCAGTCCTGTAGCAAGGGAAGTGTTAGGAGGATCTTTCGGGGTTTATTCATCTTCATTTCCCTCATAATGGGAGCAAAGACCTCAGGAACTGGAACACTAGGAACAGTCCCCCTGTCCTGTGAGAGCTGTATGCATGGTGCCCTGGCTTGTGGCTTCTAAAAAAAAAAGTTAATTTCTGGAGGAGAGGAAAAAAAAATCAGTGCATCTTATTCCAAGTAAAATAAAGCAAAATCTTTTTCTCTTTGCATTTACTGAATTGTGAAGTGCAGAGCTGACTTAGTTCTGCCCAGGGAATATGAAAGCTTGACTGCTCAGTGCCTGCCCGTGCCACCTTCTGCTCTCATTTAAGAAAATAAATGTGATCATTTCTGTCATGTAAATTGTGTCAATTGAATAAAGCTGTTAAATAGGTGAGGTAATGATACAGGTTCTGTTTATTTTCATCCCTGCTATTTCTGCATCTGCTGCTGGTTTCACTTGGAAATGCCAGTCATGAAAGGACCCTCTGCTGAGGTTGACTTTGGTGAGGTTGGGTCAATGCTTTGGGTTTTAGCTCTATTTTCCATCATATTTCTGTGCTGCTTCTTAATGTTCTGTGGAGTGTTTAGCTGTCATGTGCAGAGAGAGAATTTGTGCAGATGGGTGGACTTGAATCTCCTGTGGAAATGCATTGGTTGTAGGTAAGGCCTCTGGTTCCCTCACCTGCTGCCCTATTGCAAATAAACATCTGCTTCTCTGTACTTTAGCTGTAACTTTGATAACTTATAAGGGACAATTTACTACATAATCCTGTTGAAACAAGGGCAAACAGGCACATTTCAAGAGACAATGTGGCTCCAAAGATGAGAAGGGGCCCAGAAACTGGGCATTGTTTGTTCTGGGTTTGGTCCTACAGACACTGGCCAAGTGAGGAGCCCCAGTGATGCCAGGGAACCAGGGCACAGGTGAGGCTGTTTGCTGGGAAGGACCCAGCGGAATCAGGTGTTGCTTCCAGCACTGGAACAGTGATTTCCATGGCACTTGAAGGTTGGAGTGTGCTGGGTGTGCCTGACTCCAGGCACCTGTAAAGGCCATGCACTCAGGTATCCCTGGTAGGCAGAGGCATGGATCAGACCAGGAGCCTTCTGCTTTGAGGACTCCAGGAACTCTGCACAGCAGAGATTAAACTGGAGTCTGTTCTCTGACCTCTTTGGCTTCTTGACAATTTGACGTGAACAAAACAAAGTCAAAGTGACTGTGCTGCAGGTAATACCTGGACTGCAGAGAAGCAGATAATCAGAAACCAGCTGCTGCTTTTGTTAATGTAGTCACCAGTGGCAGCTAAAGCTTGGCTGATGTTGGCAATGCTCTATTTTCCAACTGGGCCATTTAAATCTCTGAAACCTATATTGGTGCTAAACCAGTTGTCTTTCAAATTTCACCCATCTCAGTCAAATACAACGTGTGTTCAGTTTACTGGAGAAATTTATTTAAAGCCAAGGTTTCTTAGGAGGTGCAATCAACTGGCAGGACCAGTTCTAGTAAGTATATCTGCCTCCTTCTGCAGCTTGTCCAGCTCATTACAGAGCCTGGTTAGTCAGAACAGCTATGTCTGTGTGCAGTGCAGGATTTCAAGTACCACGTTTAAGCATGCTCTTGAATTAGAGAGACACTTCAGTGTCCTGTTTAAGCAGCATCTATACCACTTTAGGGTTTGCTTTCCATTTGCTTTGCTTTGCTTCCTACCAACTGGGGAGAGATTTAGCAGAGTGGGAAATGTGTGGCCTGGATGATGACTGCATTGAAGAAGCTGTGCTGAGGACTATCCCCAACTGCTCCTGCACTGCACAGTGTCCCAGGGGACAAGTGGGGCTGTGTTGCCCTGGAGCCTGATGCTGCAAGTTGCAGATGGCCCATTTGCAGTTGCTGACTCATAGAACAGCTCAAATGACTTGACAATTCAGTAAATTAAAAAATGTGCTTTTCTGTAGCTGTGGATGAATTCATTTATCCCGAGTTTTATGCTGCGTGGGAGGACAATATCCATTTTTCTTGTCTCTTTTAGGAAAACCACTGTAACAAAACCTTTGATGTTTCTCTCGGATTTATTAGTTACAGAGAATGAAGATGTTTAAGCTATTTCATATAGCTTATATGTGACCACTTGTGAAAAAATAAAGGGGCCTGGATTCTGGCCTCTATGAGCAGCAGCTGTTGCCTTGTGACTCAAGAGGAGCAATGCTGGCCCAGGGTCCCAGGCTCCTCTGCTGAGAATAAATGAGCCAAAGTGATCAGCTTAGGGAAGACAGGACAGGAATGGTGACTGGGAACACTGATCCTGTGGGATGTGACCTGGGATGATGTCTCTGGGGTGTGTGTGCCTTTCTTATTTCTTGTGTAGTGTCTCATGCACAATGAGATTCCTCATAGGAAGGGAATAAAATGGTCTGTGCTAAAGAAGGTAAAAAGTTGAGCCACAGGTTCTTTGGAGTAAGGAAAGATCTGCTGGGAGGTCCCTGACTGTTTTATATGTGTTCTTGTTGGTCTCTTCCATCCTTAAACACCAGTAGCAAAATCCCTCAGGCTTCAGGAGTGGGAGACTGAGCCCAGCCCGAGTCAGTGACAGGAAGGAGGGAGAAAGGCAGCAAGGGATGGCCCCTGGAGCCACCTCTGGGTGTGGGCTGCAGGAGAAGCAGTGCTGGAGGAGGATGCAAAGGGGCAAGGGCTGAGGAGGAGGCAGCTGTCTGCAGAGGCAGCTGTGAAAGCATGAGAAAGGAGCTACTTTGGGAGGAATCTGAAAAGTGAGGCACTGCTCTTGATTTAATGTGGGAAAGCCTTGTGGAATTGGTAGAGGCAATTGTGTTTCTTCTGACAGGGTGTGTGTCTTGTCATGGGGTTATTGGAGATTTAAAAGATTCCCAGTAATGCTTTGTGGAGTCAGATGCCACCGTGGGCCTTCAGAGACTGGGGAAAATTTCCAGGTTTGACTTAATGCAAACCTGTCCAAAATCCTTTTGCTTAGGGGAAGGAATACGGCTTACCTTGTTCATAGGATCCCTTCCTGGCTCACACTCTCACAAATAGTTCCATTATTTTCTTTTAGGAAAGCAAAAAGAAAACAGAAAGTACCAGGTTCAGAAAAGTTGGCTGGTTTCCTTTCCTTTTCTTGGGGAAAGCAAAAGACCCAGACAGAAAACCACTAAAAGCTTTTTATTAAAGTATTTATCTTTCCTATTTTCTAAGTAAGACTTTTGGCCACTTTAAACCTTCTCCAGCTTTCATTAAAGATAATAGCTTTTTAATGGCAATGAGTTTGTTTCCTTTATGCCCTGTGTGAGTCACAGCCCAGCTCCCTGTGGAGAGGCAGCATGTGATGGGGTTGTGTAGTGGCTTTTGGCAGAAGAGAGATGGAGAATATCTGTGTTCTCTGTGCCTATGGCCACACCTGGATGAGAGCAGTGGGACTTCCCTGCTTATCTTCTAGCCTGACTTCCCCCGTGGCCTTACAGTGCAGCATTTTATGTGTGTTGGAGTCTGCTGGAGACACTAGTTTTGCTGTGTTGAAGCCTTTACCAAGGGTGAATGCTTTTGGGGTTTCAATCCAAGGAGGTGTTTGCTCAGCCATGACGACTCTGCTGTGGTGTGGATTTTCTCAGCAGAACCTCAGGAATCTGTGTCTTGGGGACACAACTGGTGAGGTGAGAGCCAGCAGAGACCTGGGCCCAGCTGGTCACTCTGGGGCTCCAGAGAGGGCTGCTGCCCTCTGCTACTCTGGGAAGCTGTGGGGTTCTCCTCTTTGCAGCCAGCTGAAGGGGAGTTTTACAAAGGTGGCAAAGAACATTTGAAGAGGTCTGCAGTGGTTACTGGCCTCCTGAGCACACACAGAAAAATCCAGGCCTAAGAATCATTTAGATGAGATGTTTTTTGGTTTCTGGGTCAATAGCCTAGTTCAGGTGTGCTGGCCAAATCTCTCTTTAGTCCTAATGAGATCACCATCCTGGGTGGGCTTCATTAGCAGGTGGAGTTTAGGATTATTTGGTTCAATGTTCTTCTCTACTTTGGCCAAAGGCAGAAGAATCTCAAATAGATGGGCTCATAATCTGATTTATCTTCAGGTTTGCTTCAGGAAAATATCTGAATCTTGCTTGGTATCAGCTTTCTCCTGTATCTCTGTGTGCTAAAAACTAGCAGATGTGTACAGCAGGGGAATGATGTTTAAAGGTCTTTTCAGTTCTCAGTCTGGGAAAGGGAGCCCTGGCACACTCTGGGCGTGAGGCAGGACAGGCAGCAGGCACAGAATGGACTCTGTTGTGGGTTTTCAGGTCAGTACCTGTTCACAGCAGCAAATGCATAGGGGGAAATGCTGACCTTTGCCTTCACTTGGACAAATGGTGTTGCCATTGCTGTTGATTTGACTCATGTTCTGAAAAGCTCTTGGGAGCTGGTGGTGCTTCTTGCTGCAATGTAACGAACAAGCAGAGCATCCCTTGTGAGAGCCTTGGAGGAGGGTTTGGGTGAGGTGGCAGCCAGCTCTCCTGTGGCCCTCATATAGCTGTAGAAATCAGCTCCAAGAAATCAGATCACTTGGTTGGCTACTTTCCTTCTATGCTTTTACAGGCTTGGCTGTGACAGTGGAAAGTAAAATCAGACACTCTAAACCAGAACCTTTTTTTTTTTCATTTGTCCTGCATAATGATAGTTCTGCTTGGTTCCTTATTGCTGGAATACACAGAATCCAAATCCTGCACGAGTGCAAGGAGCTGTACAAACACAGAGCAAAGAAAATACTGCCATCCTGACACATTTGCTATCAGGTGAAGAGACATAGAGGTTAAGGGGCTAACACTTGGGATTAGGGTAAATCCTATGTAAAAACCTGGTAAACCCTATCCAGACTTCAAAATAATATTTTTATTATTATTATTATTTTTTGGGGGGTGAAGTGAAA